GCCTTCCACAAAGCCGTTAAGTCCTGGCTGCTCCAGCAGGCCCGGGGGGCTCTCGAAATATCCAGCCCCTCGGAAACTGTGACTGTTGTGTATTTTAAAGTGTTGTTTTGTGTATTTATCCCCTTCCCTTGTTTATTGTAAGCCGCCTGGAGTCCTTCGGGAGTGGGCGGCATACAAGATCAATAAACTCAAACTCAAACTCAAACTTCTGTGTATAAGGCAGATGCTCAGCCACCAAACCAAGTTTTCCCAATCATTTCCTAAAGCTATTTTCCTACCTGGCAGGTGGAGTGTGCATTGCCCAATCCATCAAGATCCCACGAGAACCCAAGCCAGGAGAGTTTAACAAAATGATCAAGAGACTGATGGAGACCCCCAATGCCCGTGGCATCATCATTTTTGCCAATGAGGACGATATCAAGTAAATGCACCATCTGCTTTTTTTTTGTACATTTGTGTTCTGTCTTTCTACTAAGATTTCCCCCGTTTCATCCTGACAACACCCAGTACAGTGGGTTAATCTGGTCCAAAATTATCAGGGGAATAAGATGGCTAAATCTGAGGTTATTTTCAGCTTAGTACGATATGCAAACAAAAACTATTCGGGAATGATTACCGTAAATTAAATTAAATTAAATTGAAAGTATGGTGTGTTTTTAGCTTGCCTAGTTCAACTGATGTGCAAGTATGTGGTTTGTTCCTAGTTAGGCCTAGTTGGATTTTGTGGTCCATCCAAATTTCTTAGCAATCCAGAGAGGTACATGATAGGAGCAGCTAAAAAATGAATAAATTCAAATCAAGAATTACGTAAACTGTGATTAATTCATCCATGAGTTGTACGCTAGATCAAAAAACTATGATCAAAACACATCATGCGAAGAGTAGGCAATTTCAAATCCACATTTGGCCTGCCAGCTCCTATTTTCTAGCTCCCAGATCACAGCAGATCATCCTGCTGAAATCTGTCAACAAAATCACTCATTTGCAGCTGTATAATTTTCAGCAATATTTTATTTCATAAAATATTAGATCTGTCTTTAATCTCTACTATATTTAATGTTATTCCCACAACCCTTACACACCACCATCTCCCAATGACATTCCATCATTAGATATGTCTTTCGTTTCACCCGTAAATGTATAAAAAAATTGCTGTCAAACTCCCAGGTTAGAAAAAAAAGATGTCTATTCCTGGATCAGCGCCGCATGCAATAGTATTTAGCCTAGCATTAACTACATGGCGGCTTATAGCTGCAATTCTGACTTCACTAGTTACATTTTCCCTGTGGTTGAGGTGCAGCAATCTCCGCTCAAGATTATTTCAGTGTGAAATTTGTGGTCCCCACTGAAGACCCCTACCCTGCCTTTAGTGTTTTGATTCCCATTCATTGCCAGTCCCTTGACTTTCCTATGTAAGGTTAGACAGAGCCTAACTTGAGATCTTGAGGCCTTCCTGACATCAGTTGGAACAAGGAGCAAAACACTGGTATAGCCAAAGTAGAATCAAGTCTCTCTCACACAAGAGCTGGGGATAAAAAGCAGAAGAGCTAATAATTGGCTTTTATCTTTCCGGGAGTTGATGGCAAGAGGAACTGATGTAATTATTACTTAATACAATATGATATTGGCTATGTAATAGCATACATGTGATTATATGTTATGGAAAAGGAAAATAAAAAGTTCTTGTTAAAAAATAATGTCCATGCAACACAATATCAAAGGGACTCAGCAAAAAAAGGCGATTGACAAGGCATGCTTTGTCTTGCTTAAGGGGTTAGTTGTGAACGCCTCTCATTTTTCCATTTCACCCCTGCAGACGAGTGCTGGAAGCTGCCCGCTTTGCCAATCTGACGGGGCAGTTCCTCTGGGTAGGTTCTGACAGCTGGGGTGCCAAGATTTCCCCCATTCTGATGCAAGAGGAAGTGGCTGAAGGAGCAGTGACCATCTTACCCAAAAGAGCCTCGATTGAAGGTAACAAAAACTTAGAGGAGAGCAACAGCGCGAGAGCGGGGAGAAACACAAACTGGCTGACGTCACGTGACACATCTAGTCTATTCTGCCATGACTCCAAGATTCACTTTCCTTCCTGAGACCTAGTAGAAAATGACCAGCATTGCCCTGAGCAAACTAGTGACAGATATCCCCCAGAATGAATGTCACTTCTGCATTTGTTATTCTTCCTGAAAAGACAGCGTTGTTTTTTCTATCTACCTCCATCCTTTTTCTGTCTGTTTCATTATCCCTACACTACTGAATGGATGGAGAGTAAAACAATGGATGAGAGGGAACTCTTATTAACACCCATTTTGCAGGTTCATCTATGTTGAACACTAGAGGAAAGTTTAACAAGAGCTGGGGATCAGAACCATAAAAATCATGGACACCAGCAGATGGCAGAGAATTAACTTTTGCTGCTGATGGCAAATTAGAACCAGCGATCCTTAATCTCAAGAGTACATGGACAGACCCAAGCACAGTTTTAACTGGGAGACTTTAAGCATCGTAGACTAAGCTAAATCTAAAACCGCTAGGAATTTCTGAAAGCTTGGCATTCAGGCCAATCAGCCATCAACAGACACATAGAAACAAGCCACTTATACACCATTGGAGAAAATAAAAAGGTTAAGAAGGAAACAAAAAGATCAGAACACACCCTCTCCAGCAGTCTACGTCCAGATAAATAGGGATGAACAATAATCAAGCAGAAAACAATATCCTAATTAAAGAACTACAAAGGAGAAAACCACACCAACATCACTAGGAGGGCAAGCTACTGTAATTAAACAGGGAACAAACCCCATACTCAACAAGCACTGAAGATGTTAGTCAAATAATGAAACATCCACAATCGAACAACGAAGCTCAGAGAACAGAGAGGATTCCACGATTAGAGCTCTACTACTCAATATGGTGACCTCAACTTAATAGCATATGTGAACTAGCCTTCTCAACAGCTTGCAGCCCAGATGTGGTAGTCTAATTTAAACCAATGGTTATCTTCTTCCCTATGTTTGCATGACATGGCTATCCATGGGAATTTAATTTCAAAGTGCCATGCTTGGTTTGGGTAAAACTAACCTTCTATAACTCACAGCTGGCTCAGTTTAACAATGACACATAAATCCCGGTTGCATATGTCAAGCCAACGAAGTAAATGTTTGTAAAATGTGTCCTTAAGTAATCATGTTCCCTATTCCTTCATTTTCTATTCAGCACAACTGCTTATTAATTCATTTTAAAAAGGCATTTCATTCTTAAGCACTCCTCTCTAAGAGCCTGGGTTGTGAATGCGGGAGGGTGTTAAAACGCATTATTGGTAACTAATTCATTTTAAGGCGACAGAGAAGCCATGATTCAATAGACATAAAGCAACTCTTCAGAGCTGGGAAGACCAATGAGTGGGAAAAGTCTTGTCTCCCTTCCGTTCTGTCTGAGAGAGATACTTGTGCTCAGGGATTTCAATCTGCTAATGACTGAGACTCAAAAGACTTGGTTAATGTCTCTAAAATAAAAGGATAAATTATAGTGACAAAACGTAACAGAGAATAGCACTCTCTCAAGGGAATGAATTCTGAGAGATAAAGTTTGACTGGCGGGAGTGAGTGATGTTATAGCAATAGCAATAGCAGTTAGACTTACATATCGCTTCATAGGGCTTTCAGCCCTCTCTAAGCGATTTACAGAGTCAGCATATCGCCCCCACAGTCTGGATCCTCATTTCACCCACCTCGGAAGGATGGAAGGCTGAGTCAACCTTGAGCCGGTGAGATTAGAACCGCTGAACTGCAGATAACAGTCAGCTGAAGTGGCCTGCAGTACTGCACCCTAACCTCTGCGCCACCTCGGCTCTTGTTGCATTCTACAGAAGCTCCTACTTGATAGATTAAAAACCACCATCTCTATTTCTAAGTACTTGATGACTGGAGGCTGACATACATTTACACACATCTGGCATGAGAAGGAACCAGCACAGCCTTTGCTCTTAACAGTGATCCACCCTGACAAGCCAAGAAGGAAGACCTCTTCACATGGAGATAACGCTAAAATTGAGGGATTAAACAGCGTGATTCAACTGTCTTAAAAAAAGTTGATGGTTCTTTGGGGGGAAAAAAGCCTGCAAAGCCATAAACACCCCCCTCCTTCCTTGTTCTCTTCCCAGGTTTTGACCAATACTTCACCACCCGTTCCTTGGAGAACAATCGGCGCAACATCTGGTTTGCTGAATTCTGGGAGGAAGACTTCAGGTGTAAACTAACCCGTCCAGGGTTCCAGTATGATGAAGGGAACCGCAAATGTACTGGTAGGGCTACTCCTGATGTGTGGAGCTAGGGAGGGAGGGAGGGAGGAGTAAAGCAAGAAGAGTTAATACAGAGAATAACTGCTCCAATGAATGATTCTACAACCTCACCGTAATCCCTGTTTTTGAGTTGATTGTGGTAGAAAACATCACAGAGCTTCAAGGCCTAGGCCCGTGATGGCACGTGGAGCCATTTGTTAGGGTACGCGAGGTGTTGCCTGGTCAGCTCCAGCACGCATGTGCACATTAGCCAGCTGACTTCAGCCTTCTTTTCCAGCTGTTTTTTGCCCTCTGGAGGCTTCAGGGAAGCCTTCTGAAGGCTCCGGAGGGCGAAAAACAGCCCTACGGGCAAACCGGAAGTCACTATTCCTGAACTTCCGGGTTGCCCGTAGGGCTGTTTTCCACCCTCCAGAGGACCTTCGGGGGGGAGGCTGTTTTTGCCCTCCTCAGGCTCCTAGAAAGCCTCTGGAGCCTGGGGAGGGCGAAAAACGTGTCCATTGTGCGCCAAAAGTGGAGGGGAAGGGGGTGACGCGTATAGCATCATGGATGTGGACACGCCCGTGCACAATCCCCCTGTGCTCCCCCCCTTTTGGCACACAATCCGAAAAAGGTTAGCCATCACTGGTCTAGGCTGTTGTTCACCTCCACAGGGAACAGAGATTAAACTTCAAGTCTCTCTCTCCCCCCTCTCCCTCTCCCGGCCCCATGACAGAAAGAAAACAAATAGTGCCTCCTCTTCAGGCACTATTTTTTCCTGGAAAATGTCCAATTCAGCCTCCTTTTCTATACTGACAATGAATTATGGGTTATATGCTCAATTACTTAAGTCATACAATACAATAGCAGAGTTGGAAGGGACCTTGGAGGTCTTCTAGTCCAACCCCTTGCCTAGGCAGGAAACCCTATACCNCTTCGGGGGAAAAGGACGGCATATAAATAAAACAAACAAACAAACAAACAAGTTTGGGAACCACTGGACTAGAGGGACATGGTTGATGGGCCAGACATGATGCCTTGTGAGATTATGGCAGCTCAACAGAGCAATTCACATGCAACATAAGCCATTTCTTCCGTATCTATTGTCCGATAGCTGGGTCTCCCTCATCACATTTTAATCTAAAGTCATATGGAGTTGGGGATTTGGGGTGCAGCATGTCTTCTGCTATCTCAGCCTCTAGGTCATTATGTGAGCTCAAAAATATGGTTATCGGATGAGTTATGGAAATATGAGCAGTTGAGTTTGGTTATTTGTGTGAAACTGACGAGTCTGTGAGATTTTGCTCTTTTCAGCCCGTGACTGATCTCTACTGACTGATATCAGTAGCAAACCACTTCTGTATTGTTACCAAAATATCTACAAGGACATACAATATTAGTCATAAGGAGTCAAGGTTAATTCAAGGAAGATTCTATCTTTACCTCTTACGTACACAAGGCACTAATTTCGGAGAATTCCTCCTTTCCCCCAAATTATTTTTAGGAATAAACTAGTGGCTTTCATACTTTCTGTTGGCAGCAAGTACTTTGTATAGCCTTATTTGGTTTCCAGGATCCTTTTCCTCCCCCCAGTGAGCATGTAGAACATTTCAAAGATAAAACCTAATGCCGTAGGACCTTGGTACTCAACTGCTTTGAAACTCATCAAGTTTGGTACACGTCCAAACCACATTTTGACGTGAAAAGTTTGCTCCAGGGGTTACACATTGTTTCTTTGGTATTCAACTCACAAGTGAGAATCTGTCAGTGTTGGCTGCCTTGTGACTTGCTACATTATTCCTTATGGGAAAAATTGTTTGGTACTCATCATTTCTGATACTCATCACGCTTCCCAGAACCAATTAACGATGAGTACCAAAGTACCACTGTACAGCCTTCATGTGTTAGGTCTGTAATTTCCAAGTTTCTAGCCAGCAAGGCTGTGCTGCATGAGTACTCAGGAAATAGTAGTGTAGTAGTCATTCATGGGTAGCTTTCTTCTTGGTGGTATATGCACTCTGAAATTCATGAGGTATGTACTCATACATCTTTCACTGCCTATTGAAGATAGATCTTTTCATGCAGGCATTCCCTATATGAATGTTATCCAAAAGATGAGGGGTGTTGAAAAAAGCTTTATAGTAAGCAATCAAAACTTGAACTGAGGAAGAATTTCCTGACTGTGTGAACTAAGCAATAGCAATAGCAATAGCAATAGCAGTTAGACTTATATACCGCTTCATAGGGCTTTCAGCCCTCTCTAAGCGGTTTACAGAGTCAGCATAT